TTTATGAACTCATCTTCCTTGTAGGTATATGGTTATTATCCTGACAGTGTGGTACTTCAAGATGGCCCTTGAATTTTCCTTTTTGACATTGAACGTGATGGCATTCTCCTTCGATTGCTATGTCTTGGATAGTAGACCACAGGTGTGATCCCATTTCATTTTTGACACCTTCCGGTTGTCCCAGATTCCTATTGCACACACTCATGATCATTAGCAATGGATGCCTGCAGCTGTGTCTGCTCATTGTTGAGTCATGCCACGTCTGCAAATTAAGGCCCTGAAAGCTCTGCCCCACCCACATCAAGGTCTACTGGACTAGGATGTGGAGCTCTTCCCCAGTTCACACTGAGGGTCTCAGCTTCCGGCACTGTATGAAATAATGGTCTGCCTCTATTCAGAAGGTTTTCACTGGCCAATTTTTTTCATAAGGACATCCCAGGTCCTCCTTCCTGGTCTATCCTAGTCTAAAGCCTTTGTCCAAAATGAGTGATCCTGCTGGTATTTGAAATACCAGTGGAATACCTTCCAGCCTCATAGCAACATGGAACCATACCAATAGGACAAACTGACAACTGTGTGGTGGAGGAGATCAGTACAAACAGGCTAATACGCCTTATGGTGGTTCAGGTGCAGAATTCTTACCTTCTATGCCAAAGACCATGTACAATCCCTGACCGATGCCCTTCAAGCACAGCCACCAATCCTCTGTCCATGCGGAACAGTTTCAGTGGAGCTGCCAGACTAACATGGACTAGGAAGAAAGGCATGGAGGAGCTTTACTTTATAAATCTGCCAATCAGAATCTCCGATGCATCACAACCGTCCAATCCCCCCGCTGATCATAGCATGGTACAGGAGCAGGCAGTTTTTCGCTCAGTTGTACAATGGGTGGCCCTGAGTCAAAGGCCAACGTGATGGCAAGTAACAAGAGTGAGTCTAAACATTCCACCACAGGGTGATGGGGAACCGTGCAACACTTTTAAGCAGGAAGAATGGAGCTATTTTCACTTTTAAAGGATCGATTTGGCTATAGTGTTGGTGAGGAATCTGGCGGGAACAAGCATAAGATGGGAAAACCAAAATCTAGACAGAGAGCAATGAGAATGGGTGCTCATTACAGGAGTATTTACAAAGTGGACGTTTCATTTTTTTCCTTTCTTTTTTTAAAATTTCTTATCCCTTGGCAAGTTGTTGATAGATCAGAAGCAGAAGGGAGAGACCAGGTTAGGAGAAGCAGAGAAATGAGCTTAGGAAATGTGGGGTCAAGGTGCCTGTGAGATTCCAAGGGAAAGGTCCAGTAAGTAAGCAGCTGGTTCTGGGAAAAGTTCATCGCGGCTGCGTTGTGAGAGCGTTCTCCGATGGAGACCCTTCAGGGCCCCGACCTTCATCCTTTCCTGTCCATTGCCCAAGAGGGCAGTGCTGCACGGCGTCCAGATGAGCCAGAGGAGAGAGACGCTTCAGATTCCCCAAAGCTTCAAAGCAATATCCATGTATATTTTTAGCGCCTTTGGTGGATAATAGAACATCCCTGGAAGATCAGTGAATAATCCTATAAATAGAAGAGTGCCCAATAAAGATATAAGCTGTGTATATGTGTAGCGTGTTTCAATTCTGCTCTGTATCTCGCTCCACCTAACCGCGGCACCACTTTAATGGCCATAGCTACACTTTAATTCTTTATCTATAAAACGTGGCCCCGTGGAGCTGCTTGAAGACTAAAATAAGAATATACACGGAAGCGCCTGGGACAGTTCCTAGCACGTTTCCGTGGGCCAGTAACTGTCCGCTACTAATGCTGCTGTGTTTCCGATGAGATAAAAGAACTGGAACACCATGTTAGTGTCCTTCCAAAGGGCTCGTTCCTTTAGACAGACTGGGGAGGCAGGAAGTGGGCAGAGGGGGGACTGGGCAGAGCCCTTGGGAGGCAGGGCTCTTGTTAAGGAAACAGGAAAGTGCAATTTTCTACGAGGGGAGGTTTCTTGACCTCTGAGAAGGGAAGCGGGCAACCAGGCTTACAGGGGACACAGGATCTAAGGTACAAGGATCTAAGGTCCCCCCCACTGGGGCAGCATTCACCCTATGAATCGGGGGTGGGGTGGGGGGGAGTTGTCACTCAAGACAGTGAAAAAGAAAGAAGAAATATGTTTACTAGTAAAAAAAAAATTGTGATGAGAGGGTGGGGTGAAAAGGGGGAACCGATTACAAGGATCTACATATAACCTCCTCCCTGGGGGACAGACAACAGAAAAGTGGGTGAAGGGAGACGT